CTTTAAAGAGCTCATTACATTTGATGGGTGTCTCCTGTGTTGCTGGTCTCCTGGACGCTGTCTCAATCTGTCTCACCTCATGTTCATTATTGACGTCTCCACTCCCACCCTCTGTGATGTAGAGATCTGTGTAGATCTCATTCAGAAGTGCTGAGCTTCCATGCTGTGAGATTCCTTCATTAATTCTTTTACATTTCTCACTCAGTTTGGATTTGAGTTTTCGATGGTACACAGACACGAGTTCTGATGAAAAGAAGAATAAAATGTAAACTCTATGATCATCTCTGTTGTATTAAAATTAATACTTTCATATCTGTATAGCATGTGTAATGTCAGTACTGATCTGTTATTATATTCTGTTGATAAAAGCACATCATTATGATGTGTTTAATAAGTTTAGAGCAGTTTCCTTCCTCTAAAGTTAAAGTGATGTTATAACTCCATGAGCTCTTACTGTTCTGCAGTGTGTGAGCGAGATCTGTGTGGTTCATGTTCTTCAGGACGTGCAGTGTGATCTTCAGCGCTCCCTCTCTGACACTGCTCTGATCCTCCTCATCCTCCACCTCCCTCTCAGGGCATGCTGGGTAATCTGGACTCAGGAGCTTCTTAAATCTCTTCAGCTCATTCTTTAACAGAGTGATGACTTTGTGCTCCAGATCCTGATTTGATAAAGAAAGAAAAAAATACAAAAACACTATAATGTCACATGAGTATGTGTTCATTACTGAAAACTTTATATTACTGAAAATATAAAACTACATTTTTCTATGATTAATCATAAAACTTCTACAAGCAGACGTAATAAATAAAAAGGTTTTGCACTAAATACAGCTTGGGATGTTAAAATCGTGTATTCCAGGCCTATTCAATAGGTGGCATCCAGACAAACTGGTTCCAGCTGAGGGCACAGACGAGCAAAATAATGAAGGAGAGTCATTGAGCATTTCTATGTGTTTGAAACCAATGAGGAAAACACAATACACTCGTGTTCTCTCTTAGTGTTGCTCAGTATTTTGTTCTGTCACATTGCAGTGAGAGTGGAATAGGTGTAATGATTACTCAAATCTCTGGCAGCAGACAGATAGAGATATTAATTAAAATGCTGGGATTAGGAAAAGTTACACACGCACACCTTGAATATGGCCTCCAAATGACTCTTCTCAGTGATTTTTGATTTATTCTTCTGCGGTCTATGAACAAACAAAACACTTGTTAAAGGTTTAACAAGGACTATAAATCATATTCCTTACTACAAACACAAAGCAGTGAATACACAGATATTTGAGAGATGTTTGATTATGAGAGTGTGAGAGATAAAACACTGCACTCATACATTAAACTGTCCTCACCTCAGATCAGTAGCACAGTCTGTGTCTCTAAAGTGTAATGGTTGCTCCATTGACTCGTCACTCTTCATGGACACACAGCTGGGTTCAGGTGAGTCTGATCTCTCACCCTGAATCAGACTAAACACACACAACCACTGCATCATTATTACTGTTCTGCAGCAATACTGAATAATTCAACTGTAGTTAAAATCTGATGATATTCCTTATTAACACTGACACGATTCTTTAACCTTCATACTTTATCCAGCTACAGGG